ATCTGACAAAGACCAGGAGGAGAAGGCCAGGAGAAGTGAGTTTGTGCAAGGGCTGCTGCTGTCCACCTTTCTTGAAGAAGACTTCTAAGCAAGAAGAGAATAATGTAGCTTGGATAGAGAAAAGAAAGGGGATGCTGCCATTCTGTGTAGTAGCTAGGGCAAGAGGGAACTCTTAAAAGTCCTACTTATGTGTATATTAATTAAAGACTACGTTCGTTTCCCATCTTCAATGTAGGCCATATGCTAATATATTTCTAAGTTAATTGTGTAAAGCAACAAGAGATATATGACTATATAGCTAGTTTCACTAAAATTATCAAGCGGTGAAGCAGCTAGCGCCGCACTATGGCTGCTGCTTTTCATCCATTAGCAGTAGAATTTGCCTTCGCCTACACTGCTGGTTACCACCAATAGGCAAAAGCCCTGTATTGGGAAACAAATTTAGGAAGAGGTTGGACAGTCTGAATTTTGAGGGTGGTGTATTAGCCCCAAAACAGAATTTCCTGGCATAAGGTTCTTGAAGAGGCTTTTATTGACCGCCAACAATATTTGTTACTGGCTTAGAAGGGTTGACGTGGAACAATGAAATATGACAATAGTTTTTAATAGGCGTTGATAGTCTTTTTGTAGACGTTACTTGCATCACATATGTAACAGGGGCGGATGCAAATGGGAGGGGTGGGTTCGCGTGAACGCATCCTCCTCTCCCTAAATCATGCATAGCAGCTCTAATACTTAAATTAACACGGGTGAACTCAAGCTCAAGTGAGCATTTTAGTACATTGGTAAGGAGGTGCACCTTTCTGCCTTAAGGGTAATTTTCTTAAGGTTTTTTTTTTAGCAAATATATCACTAGGTACGCTGCCTAGTTGCTAATATGTAGATAAAATAATCCCAAAATGGGTCCAAGGTTTACAATTTGTCCAAACAAAAATAAAACAATACATCTACAACTAGCTATTACACAAGCAGCTCTAAAAATCACTAACAAGCTAGCTATTACAATGAATGAGAAGGTAGATTGCCATAAGAAGATGGTGTGAGTCCACGAGCCAAGTGCAAAGACCTCATAGTAGCACCTCTAATGCCCTCATTGGTTTTGCATTCCAAAGGACAAGGCAAATATGAATTTCCAACTAATACACCATACCTGACCCCAAGAGTTTGATTCTCTTGATTCTTTTTTGAAAGATATGGAGTTCCTGTATGTTACTGAACAAGATAGTACCAATGTAGTCCAAGACAGCCTGAATTGTACTCCAATAAGGTACTTGTAATAGTATAATACCAAACATAAGTTGCCTGCCTGACATTACCATCACATACACTGCCCCACCACCTCCGGATTGAGCATGCAACCATGCTGATACCACTAGACAGTGGCATGGTAGCGTACCGTCTCAATCAGATCTAACCAGGCATCAATAACCTGCATTTGTAAACCTTGACTTTTAAGGGTATGACTAAGGGTATTTTTTTTGGTACCTTACCGGTACCTCTACCGGTTCTAAGGGTGCAGTACCGGTGCTTAAGGGTAATTTTAAATTAAAATTTTTAAAAAATTCTATTTAAATACAAACAAATTTTAATGGATGAAAAAAATTAAAGGCTATGAAGTGTCTTTTATTTTATTTTATTCAATGTAAACATTAGATTTCTAATACAAGTTACAAGTTTATTTGTATTTCAACACTTGTAAAAATAAAATTACATATTTCTTTTGAATGATTTGATTTTCAATAACTTTTCGTGGTTCTTCGGTTGGAACTGGTAGCACTTGTTTGTCTGTGTCCCCGCCATCTCTGGTAGATACTATTTCATTATATGCATCGTCGTCTTCTTGAATTATTTCTGGAAGGCCAAAGTTTCTTCTCTTCGCTTTAGTCCAATCTCTGAATAAAATGATAGTCTCCAAGGTGTCTTGTGTCAATGAATGTTTGTGGTCTCCAAGTTGAAATCGTGTTGCACTGAAAGCTCTTTCGGAAGCTACTGATGAAGCTTGAATAGTTAGCACACCTCGGGTCATTCTTGAAAGAATCGGAAATGATCGTTGGTTCATTCTTCAATATTTTAGCAAGTCTTCATTCCCTTCATCATCGCAAATATCAATAATTCCTGCAAGTAAATAAACATCAAACTCGTTAATTTGTGAAGATTGCAATTGACTAATCATTTGCCGAATAGCACCAAAAGGTCTATTTATAATAGTTTTTTTAAGAGGTTGAGATGATGAAGAAGTAGAGGCACCACTAGTTGGTGCAATAGAGTTCATTTGTCTTTGGTAATAGTCATACACAACTTTAGCATTTTGTTGAATACTAGCCAAACAGGTAGAAAGAGTTGGTGTTTGAGTTGGTTCTTTTTCTAAATTAAAGTAAATTGTTTCAACAAGTATCTTTGCACCAATAACTTTGATTTCAGGATGTAAAACAGCAACAGTAATATAAATAACAGTAATAGGAAAAAAAAAATTTAAAATTTTTCAACCATTATTTTAATAGTATCTTTATAATCTTCTTTTTGTTTATACTCAAAAAATAACATCGGAATTCCAGTTATATATATTAACATACTAGAAATAGTTGGATATAATAACCCAGAAAATTCTTTAGTAGTATAAAAAAGTTTTTCTAAAAAATGAATAAGATGAAAAGTGGTATCCCAATCATCATCTATTATGATATGAACAGATTGAACATAGGAATTAAACATGTTGGTACTAGGCAATCGATATTCATAAGCAACATACAACATATCGTATACTGAATTCCATCTAGTTGCAACTTCTTTAGGAATTTTTTTAAAGGGTAATTCACAAGATTCATAATGCATCTTAAATTCTCTACGTCTAGCAGGTATCTGAGAATGAAAAATATAACCAACTGCAAATCTAATTTTGTCAAGAGTAGTGCCAAATAAAGTAAGTCCATCTTGAACAACTTAGTTATAAATAAGATATGCACATCTAATATGAAATAAATCCGCAAAAGGTAGAGTTAATCTAGTTTTCAAAACACCAATAGCATAAGTGTTACTAGAAGCATTATCTAAAGTAATAATAATAATTTTGTTAGAAAGTCCACAAAAATCACAAATTTCTTTAATTTGTTTAGAAATAAAAATACCAGTGTGTCGATCTTCAACAAATTTATAACCAAAACGGCCAGATTTTAAATAAATAAATAAAAAGTTTGGGTACCAGTACGGTACCTTAAGGGTACTTACGGTACCGGTATTAAGGATACTATTTCGGGTACCCTACCTTTATTCATACCCTTCACCCAAATCCCTCACCCTACCCCCCAACCGGAGCGGTACAGTCTGGTACCGATACCGGTACTTAAGAGTACGGGTACCGGTATTATCCTACCCTTAGACAACCCTACTTTTAGTCGGGGATTCGATCCCCCTACTCTTTCTTCTTTTAAATTATATTGTAATTAATAAGTAGGTTTAAATCCTCATGCCCCTACCATTTTTTTCTAATTAAACATACTTTTTTGTTTCCTTTTTATTGGTTACACATTTTATTTTTATTTTTATCCTTCTCTTTTTAGTCTTTATTTTGACTTTTAAAATTTCTAAACCAAAAATATCTCTTAGAGACCGTCACGAAAACTCGGGTCTCTGACGCTCATGGTACACCTATGCTCTTGAAATTCTAGTTACGCCTCTAATACGTAACCCTTTTATCACGTACGTAAGCGTCATTTAATCACATGCGATAAGATCATACACACCATGACTATTCCACTTGAGTTATAATAGACCCGGACCATGCTATTCGATAATATTGAAAAAAGACAGTGTAAGCAAACAACTAGTATGGACAGCTTAGCCATGTCCTACGTAGATTTTGAGATGTATTAACCCGTAAATGGTGATAATATAATAGTTGAAGGCACTAAAAGGAAATACGGGCCAAATTAAAAATAAGAATTAATACACACCTAGTTGGTTATTTCTAAAGACTCGATCTATAGGAATTATAGTTAGGAAAAAAAAGTATATGCAGTAATAACTTTTAGGTATGTATGTTGAAATTTAAAGAATTTATTAACTTGTTTACAATTGTTAGGAAAGGAGGCAGATTAGTCGGTATTTGAAATGAAATGGATCCGGAAGCAGAATCGCATAGAAGATTCACATAGCTAGCTGATTATGACTGACTTGAGATAGAGGCATGGTTAATCAAGTGAAGACACATCAGTGTCTCGAAAAGGTGGTGAATCTTTATCAGCAATCGAAGCAGTAGGAGTGAAGTAGAAAACTCTAAAGAGACTTTGAAAACACAGCTATAAACAAAGTCACATACTGTAAGGTGATATTATACTAGAGGTATTACAGACCATTCATTTGTACACGATATACATAAAATCAGCCTTTAAAATCAACATTAATTTGTGGTCACCACAGTAAACTCAGATAGAACTAGCTTGACAAAGCTGACTGTTATCAGAACATCATTTCCAGGAACTCACTGTTGACTGTGGAAGCTCCAATGTATGTAAGGTGCTATAGGAAACAGTAAAGATGCTACCTTCATTGTCACTCTTGACCCTACTGCAAACCTTACCACTCATCCATCTTCAGTAACTAATAAAAGTACAAAAGCTTGTATTGCATAAACAAGGCTACTTCCAAGTCTAGTTTTGCTATACCCAGTGACCAGCTCGTACGAGCATATCGGGATGTTATGCTTAAAAGAAAATAAGACGGGCTTCACCTCCGATATGAGTTATGTGACACAAAAAAACTGTAGTCAGGGTGATTAACTTGCAAAAGCCGGAGCCAATTGTCAGCAGCTCGTAACAGAGAGTTGACCTTCTGGCATTCATTAACTCCATCAGGAAACCAGAATGGTACTTGGAACTTGTAGGAGGCCAGCCCAAAGGTTGGGAGAGGTAGCTTGGCAGACGTACCAGTACCAACGATGCCTCTACTAATAGTTGTGCCATGCTGTTGAGGCCAGTCAGTCCTAGAAACTGCAAAAGTTTGAACAATAGATAGTCAGCAACATCAAGAACAAACAACTGGCTCGTTTTGTTTGTGAATTGAGAAGAAATGGATGAATGACTTACCGCCAGCAGGTGTTGAAAGAGAATGGTACGTCAAAAAGCAAGCATCAAGATTTTGCAAAGTTGGTCCTGTGGGTATCCTATATATGGGATACCTTCATAATGGGAAAAGCAGAAGACACATCAGTATTAACAGGTGAGTTTATACACCAAATCTTAGTTCAGTGAAGGCTGAAAGGAGAAAATCTTACCAAGCCACAGAAATCCAACTTGAAGGAGTCAGATCACAGCTCCTATACGTCTTCAGTTCGGAAAATTTAGATGCAAGGCCTGAAATCTGCAGCATTGTGGGGAAAAGATTATAAATGCTATAACACAATAAAATAGAAGACTGACACACTTCAGTTTGAAGATAAAATACTTGCCTTGTCAGCTAAAGGTTCACGACCATATGGTTGATTCCGCTCAAAATATTCAAATATAAGGAGACCGGGAGAGTTCCCTATCTCATTCTCATCGCCTGAATATTCCAAGAAAGGGTCTTTTTTTAGGGAGACATGCTTGATTCCATCAATACTTGAACCAATCATATTCTGCTGATTCCAACTTCCATGAACTTTATTGGCTACCCTTGAAGCTCCAGCTCCATATTCACTACTGTCATCACTACTTGTCTCCCTGAGAGAATCAGAATCACTTTCTTCACCTGGTCTCCTGGAAAAAATTTAAGCCCAAGATTGCTATTTGAAAGAAAATGCAGCTGATCCATACTAGTAATCCACAACCAAATGCACCAACAAATTAAAATGAACTAAGCTTTTAAGGAAACAGAACAGTTACTGTGTATTTCAATGATTGTCTTCTACTTCAACCTAGTTTTCACTTAGTAGGTAAGATGAGCAGCACAACAAAAAATAGAACGTTAATAACCTTGAGACATTTGCTAGATCCATCTTCTTGCACAAAGTAAACTAAATACTTTAAAGCAGTAAAGGCCGAGTCAAATAATCAACAATGGAGTTCAACTTTAAGGACTATACATGCCCGTCAGGCCGATGCCACATTACCCTGTTAAAAGTGTTCACTTGAACAATCTTTTTAGGTCACTCTTTCTGCAATAAATGTCCATAGAAGCTCATAGTTTATTTATGCAAAACCGGAAGCGCTTCAATAGCTAAATTTATAATAAAGAATATGCCTTCCATGACCAACCATAGAAAACTTATATCCTGCAATATTGCAATAGAGGAAGGTGCACGCTTTAACTTCAATTGAGTGGCAGGCCAGGGCCAGGGCCAGAAGGTTTAGATATCCACTTCTAGTTGATCTTGGTCTTTTACATAATAGATAACATTTGAGTTTATAAGAGATAAAAATAAATATAAAAATTGCAGATTAACCAATCCCCATACTAACCAGAAGCTAGGATAAAATCACCATTCTCAAGCGAACATTTAAGAGGACAATTACAATTGAGCCAGAATCAGTAACATCTATTGCATAATGGAGANTCGAAGGGTCTACATAAAGTTGAATCCCAGACAAATATGGCACATAATACTGGACAACGCAATCACTCTGATTTAAAACCAGAGGAACTCCTGCCCCATACACACTCCATTCCCCAAAAGACTCCCAAAGATCACCCAAGATGAAGTAGGGCTGCGGATCATTGTCAAGATTTCTCATCCCTTTCATGATTGTCTGCACATATACAAATGCACTGGATTAACTTGAGTATCAGGACATCAAAAGATTCAAACTGATTTTCCACAAACTTCTGCTTTGTTGCATTATGAATAAACCACTAAACAAATGAGGGGATTTGATCTTAATTACACAAAGGCATAGAGCTTAACAAACAGTACTCAAAGGTATAAAGGAAAGCCAACTTAAACTTAAAGAGTTCAATTACCAAGAAATGGCAACAATTGTTGAGCCATTATTCACTTGGATAATTTATGGAAGAAAGAAGAGATTGCAGAAAACCATTGCATTGGACCACCTTATCCATGCAGATGGTTTACACACACACGACACAATCAAGTATCTTAACACAGTCATATTCATGAGCACATGACGCTAGGTTCACTTCGATAAATTTCCTTGACTTAACAATGGTATGTCCACTTCCTGAGAATTTTGGCATGATTATATATGAGTCGAGCTTGAAGAAAGATAAGGATTCATATCGTCGACCCCAACTTTGTTTGGGACTGAGGCGTAGTTGTAGTTGTTATATATTATAGGTAAACTATTTATATATTAGAAGTAAACTATAGTTACCGGCTTTAAATAATACAGTTCTCCTCATTACCATTTTTTCCCATATACAGTAGTGCAAAATGTCAATACTTAGTTTAAGCTTAACCCTTCACTTCGACAATATCACAATACAAGCTCTAAAAACATTCACAAACACCTAAAATGCCAGAAACTTTATTTCAAGGCATAGTTTCTTTTTTCCCCAATACCATAAGGATAAAACATATTAATTAATTTCGTGGCTAATAATTGGCAAAAAAAAGAAGTGACCGTCTGCTTAAACATCCTCCCCTAGACAACAATTAATCAATGCACAAAAACGGACACAAAAGATAACTGAAACAATTTAATAAAACACACAATAAAATAAAAAAGAATTAGTATTCCCTGTTAAATTTGATACCTTGGGAAAAAATTGAGCAGGAACTTTAGGAGTGGTATGCTGCAAGAAGCGATCCAAATTGGTCAAATTCTCAACTCTAATCGACGAAAACGACGCCGTTGAGGATGCTCCGTCATCAGACTCGGTTCTACTCTCCGCTTCAATTCTTGACTTGGCTGCTTTCAATTTTTGCTGCTTCCTCATTGCCGGCGGACTATAAAACCGATCATCTCCTACCCGTCTCCGATTTGCAGCCATTTTCTTTTTGCAAAAAATTGAACGGCCCACAAGAGAAAATGGATCCTCAAAGATCCTAAAAGTCAAAGAAGTGGGTTTAGCAGTAGAAAGTTTGAGTCTTTGCTATAAATGGAGTACTGTAATGTATGCAAATATTTTAAAAAAAGTGTATTAGGAAATTGGGTAAAGTTTAGTGCTTTTTATAAAAGGGTTTAAGGGAGATTTTGAGTGATGATTTAGGGTTTTGAAGATAAGAGAGGGTGCTGGGTTTGTTAATGGCGTGGAGGGAGAAGAAGACGCGAAGAGTCGAGGCAGGGGAAAAAAAGGTTGAAAAGGAAGGTCCACCTTTAGATCCATGGACCATGCTCCAGATAATTCGAGAATAAAGAATATGTACTAATTAATTTACACAAATTACCAATTATAACAAAAATGTTACTACTTCTGTCCCATGTTATGTGATCAGTACATTTTAACTAGGTATGAGTTTAAAAAAGAAAAATAAGACTTTTAAGATTCATGAATTAAAACAAGTCATAAAATATGTGTAGCTATAAATCATCTTATTAAAAATAAAATAAGAAGTTAATTTAACAATTTGATAGTATTTAGAAATTAAATTTTTAAACCACCCACCACAGGTAATAATGTAACGACCCGAACGTTCGTTTTATGTAATTGAGCCTCGTTTTCCCTGTTTGATGTCCCCGTGTGTATATTTGATATTTGATGATTTACGGGGATGGTGGGATAGGTTTCGTACTTAAAAGTTAAAAGCATAACTGTTAAAGTGATTTTTAGGTTAGACAAGAATCATCAAATACGTAAATTTTAAATTTAGTTTGAATTATTATAAGAAAGATATAAACAAATTATAGATTCTACAGGAAATAGTTTCCTTTCTTTTCTACAAATAAAAAACAATTCCTTCTTCCTAAATAAATCAACTATTAAAAATTTCTTCTGCTTTTCCATTTCATCTTGTTGTAAAACAGAGAAGGAAAGGTTTTTAGAGTGAAGGAAATAGAATATAAATTGTTCTTGTTTTTAAAATTTTTATATAAAAGATAAAAACATTCTTACAACGATATCACAGGTATAATTTTTTCAAAAAAATGAAAAAAATTGTAATTTTTTAAATAAATGACAAAAATATTCTTAAATTAACATCACATGTATAATTTGTATCAAACTGGCAAATGATGAAAATATAAATATGAATAAGCATAAATTTTAGAATAAATTATGATAAATGAGTTTTTTATAATAATATTTTTGAAGTATTTTTATTTTGTAAGAGGCTAATATGGTTTTACATTGATAATATTTTACATATCCATGTGATTATCTGAATTTTAGTGCGAAAAAGTAGTATTATTGAAAAAACATGTCTTAAATAAAAAAATATATATCTAGGTGAGACATACCATAAAAACAACTTCTGTAAAAATGTAAAATATAATATTTAACTAAAAACGTTAACTGTTTGGTTATTTAGATCCCACCTAATAAGTTGAAAAATAGGGGGCATTAGGTCCAAAACATAAACCATTGTAGCCCATAAATGGTCCTTTTATTAACAGTAATTATTAAACATATCTAAAATGATTTTTTCGTTCTTATACAATATTTGAAACTTATTTATCAAAATTATTCTAATTTTATATATTACCCGTCCTAAACAAGGATTACTTACAAATTATATACATTCCACCTTAAAAGGCTCTCAATCCATTATTAGTGCCTTCAATCAAGGGATTTAGTTACACCCTTTTCCTTTTTTTCTCTCATCTCTCCCCTCTTCTCTCAAGATCGAACTTATATTTAGGGATTTCTGTTTGATAATTGTTTCGTGATACATTCGCCAAAGCCATGAGATACTGCTGAAGTTGCCATCTTTCTTTTTTTGGGTCTTGGTTTTATGTTTTGGCGGTTTTTTTAAAATCAAATGTCTCCTTTTATTAAAACTAGGCAGAGAATAAAGTTGAGGGGTTAAAGCCCTTGGTTACATCTCAGAGATTATCAAAGTAATCTCTATCTCCTTTAATTGTCCATACCTATCAACGTGTAAACAAATGAAAGAAAGCTTTAGCTAAACACTCATGATGGCTCGAACTGAATCTCCCTCGCCTTCAATTGTCTTATTTTGAATGAGGTCATCTCCCACCTATCCAGGTGAGCGAGACCTCTAGCCAGCCGTGGAAGTCTTTCATACATTGTGTAGGCGATATGATGCTTTTGGCGGTTCATATGTTCGATAAAATCATTAAGTACAATTTTATGCTACCCAGTTAATTTCTCACACCAGATTCAAATCTCACATAAAACTCAGTTTCTCCGAAGTGCGACGATGACGTTTTTAATGTGAAACTCGAAATTTCTTCACTCAAATCATTAACTTCCCATAAATATTCAAGTTTTTCCGTTCAAACAAATATGAATCAGTGCATATGTGTCGATTTGAAATTCATTCTCTATTTTTCTTTCCTTAATAATTCAACTGAGAAAAGAACAATGTATGGTTACATCAACATACAAATTAAAAATAAATTTCGTACAAATTTACTGCAAATTTGAATATCTACAGTAACATACATAGTAAAAATAAATTTTTATACAACTAATTATATATTATACAACTTATTTACAATTTATCTACAACTTTCATACATTATTTCTACCCAGTTAAATACAACTACAATATCATACAACTTAAATACAATTTTCATACAAATTTTATACAATATGTCTTTTGTATATTTTATATCTGATTTGTATATATTTTGCATGTAGTGTGTGCTTCTTCCTATCTAAAGTTTCAATCAAAACTTACTCTCTTAATAGAATTTTGATACAGATTAAAAACTTTATGTAAAATATAGTATTGGTAACTTAAATATAAATTTTATACAACGATTCATACATTATACAATTAGTTTTCAACTTTCATACAATATTCCAATAAAAAAATGTATATAACTACAACAGAATAGAATTTACATACAGTTATAATACAACTCTACTGCAATTTCGTAAGTAATGTCTTCTTCTTCTTCTTCTTCTTCTTCTTCTTCTTCTTCTTCTTCTTCTTCTTCTTCTTCTTTTTCGAGTTTCAATCTGAAATTCAGCCAAAATCAAGTCTAATCTTCATCAAACACTCTCAAAATTGAGATATAAACTCCAAACAATATTCTCAATTATTTTCAACAATACCCAATCCAAACAAATAATGATTTTTGAAAACCTAAATTCGATTTCAAAGTTTCAAAGCTTTTTAATGGCTGTCAATGGTGGAGAGTCAAACACCTTCAAAATTTATTGATTGACAATTTTAATTTGAACACTAATTGTGCAACATGAAAAANTCCCAGTGCACCGCGAACGCGTAGAGTTGATCGCGTCCGCGTAGAAGGAATGAAGGCAGAAGCTTGGCACGCCATTTGTGCTACGCGATCGCACAAGGCAGTACGTGATCGCGTAAGGCTGAGAAAATATTCTCCGCGATCGCATGACCATTTACGCGATCGCGTAGAGTTAAAAATATGGGCAGCCAAAATATGCTTCGCGATCGCAAAGAATTATCCGCGATCGCGAAGAGTAAAATGGAACTGGGCAAAGACGTGCTATGTGATCGCGGAGGAATTTTCGCGATCGCATAAGGTAAAAACCTGGACAAACATAACTTAAGTTCTGTAAATGGGATTTCGACCTATTTTCTACCATTTTCGATTTTGAGCTCGGGTAAGACGATTTTTGGGCTATTTTCACGGAAAAATATTGGGGTAAGTATTCCTTATCCTATATTGATTATATTTCATGATTCCATACTCACTTACATCATGAATCCGTGAATTTATGGAAGAAAAATCAGATTTTTATAAAATCTTCCAAAAATATAAAATTAAGATTTGAAGGTCAATCCGGTGTCGGAATTCAATAATATTTTTATGGTTGAAATCGTATCGGAACAAGTGTACGGATTTTATAAGTTTTCCCGGGATTCGAGACGTGGGTCCCACTATTGATTTTTGAGATGAATTTCAGATTTTTAATCCGGAAAATTAGTAATTTCATATGGAATTAATTCCTACGATTTGTATTGAGTATATTAAATTATTTATGACTAGATTTGAGGATTTTGGACATAAATTCGCGAGGCAAAGGTTTATTAGAATCTTGAATTTGGTTGCAAATTGAGGTAAGTGTCATGGTTAACTTTGACTTGAGGGAATAGAACCCTTGAATTATTTGTTACGTGAATTTCATGTGTAACAATGTTTAGACAAGGTGACGAGTGACTATTCTTTGTCAATTAATTGTTTGCATAATTATTTTAAAATTATAAATTATTTTAAGACATGAATTAATTGTTATAATAATTGTTTCTCTCATATTCTTTGTCAAATATTAATTCTTGAATTCATGCAATAATTGTTACATACTTATTTGATTTATGTGTCTTAATTACTACTTGACATTTAGCATATTAAATATGAAATTGCCTATTTTCTCCCCGATTTCCACAATTAATTGCTACTTGTCATTATTTGTTTCCTAAATAATTTATAAATATTGTGTGCTTTGTTGCCTAATAATTCCTTACTGAATGTGGTATTTATGGGAGTATTTTTATTATATTTAAGAGTTGTTAAATTATATTATTGGAGCGGGTTGCACGCCGCAACAGAAATTTATTGAAGAATTATATTGTTGGAGTGGGTTGCACGCCGCAACGAAAATTGATTGAAATAATAATTGGTTATGACTGTCGAGTTGGCTTCAACTTTTGAAAATAGTTACCTGTTTTATTTCTATTATTATGGTTATTACTATTATTGCGTACAAGTTAATGTAAGTGACCTGCCTTAGCCTCGTCACTACTTCGTCGAGGTTAGGCTCGACACGTACAGAGTACATGGGGTCGGTTGTACTCATACTACACTCTACACTTCTTGTGCAGATTTTGGAGTTGGTCCCAGCGGCGTACCATAGACTTGCTCGGATTTCAGCGACCCAGAGGAGACTTGAGGTATAACTGCACAACGTCCGTAGTTCTGAAGTCCCCCTCTCCTTTATTTTAGCTGTGTGCTTTCTTTCAGACAACTTTATTTTATTCATACCCTTGTTTATATTATTCTAGTAGCTCATGCACTTGTGACACCAGATTCGGGGATGTATTTTGATGATTCGGTAGTTGTGGTCTTTCACACTTTATTTTAGTAATTGACTTCCATTTAATTTAAATTATTTAAAAATGGCTAATATTATTCTAACGTTAGCTTGCCTAGCAAGTGAAATGTTAGGCGCCATCACAGTCCCGAAGGTGGGAATTTCGGGCCGTGACAAGTTG